TGCAGCAAATCATCAGAAAATTATACACCATGACCAAGTAGGATTCATCCCAGGGATGCAGGAATGGTTCAACATATGCGAATCAATCAATGTAATACACCATATTAACAGAGCCAAGGACAAAAACCATATGATCATCTCAATAGATGCAGAAAAAGCATTTGACAAAGTCCAGCACCAATTCATAATATAAAAAACCCTACACAAAATTGGAATAGATGGTCTTTATCTCAATCTGATAAAAGTCATCTATAACAAACCAAGAGCCAACATCATACTAAATGGGCAAAAACTAAAACCTTTTACTCCAATATCAGGAACAAGACAAGGATGTCCACTATCATCACTCTTATTCAATATAGTTCTGGAAACATTATCCAGAGCAACTAGAAAAGAGAAAGAAATAAAAAGAATAGGGGTAGAAAAGGAAGAAATTAAATTATCATTGTTTGCAGATGATATGATACTCTATCAAAAGTGGAATCAACACTCAAAGATCAATAGCATTCCTGTGCACAAATAACAAACTCACTGAGAGAGAAATTAGGGAAACACCACCTTTCATAATAACATCCCCTAAAATGAAACACTTAGGAATCAATCTAATGAAGGAAGTAAAAGTCCTTTATACTGAAAACCACAGAACAGTGGATCCTCAAGTTATGATCAGCCTCACATATGAACAACTTGGGTTATGACTGGAATTTTAGTTTTAACTTGTGACCAACATTCTGAGTTACAGTCTGAATGCCAGCCACTTGTGTGGTTGTAAGCAAAGACTCATGATGCCAGAAGAGCATATGTAAGTGGACATAAGCATCAGTCTGAGACCAGATTCCTGATGTTCTTATGGAAGGGGACCCTCCTTCTAAATAATAATCACCTTCCATTTCATCCTCCCTTCTTGCAAGCCAAAGATGTCAACTTGAGTGATGAGTGCAGTATGAAATTGTTGTTTCTGGTAAGCTAGGCACATTTTATAAATTTTTGGTGAATATACTAGGAAAATTATTGGTGTTTCTGGTAAATTATGCACTTTATATGCCACATCCAGTGCAGCTCTTGAAATTTTGGAGCATGGTTGAGGGTGAAGAAATGAGGACAAGAGTCAGAAAGCTGAGGTCAAGTGGAGCCCCTCTCCTGATGGGAGAAAGGATGGCCCAACAACTGCTGCACATTACTTGTACAGTCAGCACAAGAGGCTGTCCACACAGAATTTGAAGTGGAGAGTAAGATCCGCAACAGGAAGAACATCTAAAAAAACCCCATGCCTTGGTGGTTACACAGGGAATAAGAGGGGAGTTGTCTATATTATCTTAGGGGAAAGCCAAGTCATTTTGTGTGTCAGCTCCCTGATCTATGTACACTTCTTATGGGGCCTGGCCAAACTCATGAGAAGCAGTGACCTTGTCCTAGATACCCGAGGTACAGACAGCTTCATTCCCAACAATTATTCAGCCCTTTTTTTATTATGTAAAATTAGTTAAGGGGTATTTTGGGAGGTTCAGAATGCATTATGGGTATTTCCATTATTTCTTATGAGAAAAATAGTCTTGACTTACAATCAACTTGAGTTACAACCAGCCCTTGTGAACAAATTGAATTCGTCTGTACTCTGAAAAAGGAGACTGAAGGAAATGTCAGAAAATGGAAAGATAGCCCTTGCTCTTGGGAAGGAAGACTAATATAGTGAAAATGGCCATATTTCCAAAATTGCTGTACAGATTTAATGCAATCCAGATCAAAATACCAATAGCCAAGCTTACAGAATTAGAGAAAATAATCCTAAAGTGCATTGGGAACCAAAACAGACCTGGAATAGCAAAAGCATTCCTGGGCAACAAAGGCAAGGCAGGGAGGCATCACAATCCCTGACTTGAAATTATACTACAAAGCTACTGTGATAAAAACAGCATGGTACTGGCAAAAAACAGACCCCAGAATCAATGAAACAGATTAGAAGATGCAGAAACAACTCGAAACATACCCAGTCATCTTATCTTTGACAAAGTTGCCAAACACCTTCAGTAGAAGAAAGATAACCTCTTTAATAAATGCTGGTGGAAAAAATGGCTTTCCACATGCTGAAGATTTAAACTAAACCCATATTTTTTACTAGACCTACATCTTTCAAAAATTGAAATGAATCAAAGATCTAAATATTAAAACATAATACTAAATCTTCTGGAAGACAGAGTGGGTAGAACTCTTGAAGACACTGGTGTAGGCAAAGATTTTATGAACAAAACCTGGATTACACAGGAAATATCACAAAAAATCAACAACTGGTATCTCATTTTATTAAAAAACTTTTGCATAGCAAAAGAAACCATCAACAGAGTGAAGAGACAACCTACTGTGGGAAAAAAATTTTGCCAGCTGTTCCACAGACAAAGGCTAATATCCAGCATATACAAAAAAACTGAAAAAAGTCAGATTTAAAGATGCAACCTGAAAATGGGCATCTGAAATGCATAGATGCTTTTCAGATGAAGAAATAGAAATGACATATATATGAAAAAATGCTCAACATCACTGGTCATTAAAGAAATGCAAATTAAAACAACTCTGAGATTCTATTTCTTTCTAGAGAGAAAGGCTAATACAGAGAAATCAATCAGTAACAAATGCTGGTGGGGCCATGGGGCAAAAGGAACCCTTCTTCACTGTTGGTAGAAGTGTAGTCTGATGCAGCCACTGTGGAAGTCAATGTGGAGATTCCTCAAAAAACTAAAACTAGAGGTTCCATTTCACCTAGCTATTTCCCTTCTTGTTATCCTCCCAAAAGAATTAAAAGCATCAAACCACAGCAATATATGGACACTCATGTTCAGTTTATAATACCTAAACCTTGAAAACAGTTCAAATGCCCATCAACCATTGAATGGATAGAGAAGCTGTGGTTTTTTTCATACAATAGAGGACTACTGTGCCGTAAAGAATGATAATATTGAGACATCTCTTGGTAAATGGACACACCTTGAGACCATACTCTTAAGTGAAATAAATTGGACACACATGTTTAAATAACTCGTGGTTTCTCTGGTGTGAGAAACTGAGAGTGTCAATAAGGACCAAAGTGTATAATAGATATTGGGAAATGGGAAGAAAATGGTCAAATGGGAATGGAAATAAGAAAGGAAGAAAGGGAAAAGACAGAAAGAGAACAGGAGGGAAAAATGGAAACAAAGCTTTTGTAAATAAGGAGGGGGAGAGGGATTGAAGGGAGGGGAGGGGAATGGGAAAAAAGAAGCAAGCCATGTCACGTACAGGTACATTCCCTATGACGAAGGCTATCATTATGTATATCTAAAATGTGCCAATAAAACAAAAAGGCAGGGGGCTGGGGATTTAGCTCAGCGGCAAAGCGCCTGCCTGGCAAGCGCAAGGTCGTGAGTTCGGTTCCTGGTACCGGAGAAAAACCAAAAAACAAACAAACAAACAAAAAAAAAAAACAAAAAGGCAAAAAAAAAAGAAAAAAGAAAAAAGAAAAAATCACAGGAGAACCCAGTGGATTGCCAGGCATTACAGCTCCCCTGTACTTGGTTACCCTGCTCGTACAATAGAGGTACGAGCCCTGAGTACACCGGTGGGGGGATTCTGTGCTCAAAGCCCAGATGGAGAGGAGCTAAAGAGGCTGAGAGGATTCGGACTGAGAGATCTAGGACAATATCCCGAAATTTTGTGGAAGACATAGATCTGAAGAAAAACTTCCAGCCTGGGCGTGGTAGCAAATGTAATCCCAGCACTCAGGAAGGTGAGGCAGAGGATTGCTGCAAGTTTGAGGCCAGCCTGACCTGCGTAGTGAAACCCTGTCTCAAAAAGCCAAAAGAAAGAAAAAAAAGGGAGAAGGAGAAAAAGAAGTGGAAGGGGAAGCAGAAGGGGAAGAGGAAGAGGAGGAGGAGGAGGAGGGGGAAGAGGAAGGAGAAACTCCAAGTAGGACAAACACAAAGAGAGCCATACCGAGGCACATCATAACCAGACTAACAAGTGACTCAGACAAACACTGTAAACAGTAGATGAGAAGTGAGCTGTCCATGTGAGAGACCTTCAAGGTCATCATCTGGTTTTGTTTTGTTTCAAAAACCGTGGAAGTAGCTGGGTGTGGTGGTGCACACTAGAAGGCTGAGGCAGGAGAATCACAAGATTGAGCTCAGCCTGGGCAATTTAGCAAGAGCCTTGTCAAAATAAAAAATAGAAAAGAGCTAAGGATGTAGTTCAGTGCAAAGGCTTGGGGTTCAAACCTCAGGACTGCAAATCAAACCTAAACAAATGCATAGAAGCCAGAAAGCAGTAAAAAGTCTTTTATTTTATATAGGGTCTTGCTATGTAGTTCATACTGCCCTTTGGCACACTATGTAGCTCAAAGTGGCTTCAAACTCCCTCCTGTCAATCCTCCTGCCTCAGCTTCCTGAGTTCTGGGCTTACAGTCATGTACTTCAACACCCAGCTCAAAAAAGCACATTTAAAGCCAAAGGAAAAAACAATCAACAAATAATTCTATATCATACAAAGGTATTCTTCAGAAAATTAATGAGAAATTAAGAAATCCTAGGGCAATCAACAGGTGAGAGTGCTGGTCACCAGAAACTCCAAAGAGATGCCATTTCACATACACAATAACAGAACTGGAAAATAACACATGTTGACAAAAATGTGGAGAAATTATAATCATTGTTATGAAGATGTACAATGGTGCACCTGGTGTGTAATGCTGCTGGTTTCACAAGGAGTTCAACAATATGGTATAGTCACTGCTCTCCCAAACATACATCTTAAATCCCTGAAAAGAGCTGTGTACACTAAAGATAGTACACCAATGTACATAATCCCTCCATTCACAATAATCTACGGGTAGAAACTACACAGGTATCCACTAGTGCATGAATGGATAAACAAACTGTGGTGTAAACAGAAAGGAGTACCATTCTTTTGAAGTTTCATTGATAAACTCTGAAGACTCTTTGATCCCAGAAGTAAGATCCAGAGAGACACATGCCATATAAAGCTATTTATATGAAATATTCAAAAAAGCTGAATCCACAGAGAGAAGGCTGGCCAGTGAGTCCCTGGGGCTCCAAGGAGGGTCCATGACGAGTGACTGCTTAGTGGGAGTGACGGTTTCCAATGGAGATGGATGGTGGTATATTGTGAATGCACTGGACGAGGCCAGCTTGAACACTTACAGTGGGTCATTTATATGTGAATTGGACCTCAAAAAGGAAAGGAAAAAAGGAATGAAAGATTGATGTGAGTACAAAGTGGACTGGTCTTGAGGACACTATTACATGAAAGAAATCAGACACAAAGGTCACCTACTCTATCACTCTGGACAGAGTCCAGAGAAGGCAAATCCACAGAGACAAAGGTGTGGTAAACTGGGCCATGGAGAGGATGACAGAGGAGAGGGGCTTGTGTCTGAGGACTTGAAAATGTTCTCCTCTTACACAGGGTTGACGGCTGCACAACTAGGTGAATAGAAGAAAAATCACCGAGGGGTAAATTCACTTTAACACCGTTCTCTTCCAAATTTGATGGGCTGTGAATTCAATCTCAGCATAAGGCAGTGAATGCCTGAAGCTTCCCCGGAAAGCTGCCTGACCCCAACCCTGATGCCAGGGGACACAGGATGGGCCAAGCTGGAGGTCCCTGTGCTTCTGCCTTTGGCCACCAGGTCCTAGGGGGAAGGAACTGAGCGCCTGGCACCTGACCTCGCAGGTGGGATGGACAGGAGGGGAGGGATGCTGAGCAGGTAGGCAGAGGGGTTCCGTGGTGCCCCAGACACTAGGGAGGGGCTGCTGGGCCTGGTGGGGCTGGGACAGGGGGCCAGGAGAGCCCGCACACCCCCATCCCACCCCAGCCCGTCTCCCCCAGCCTCACTCAGGTCCTCGTGGAGAACGCCCCAGCCGGTCATCCAGCAGTCAGGCCGGTGCAGGAACTCGGAGGAGGGCGAGGCCTGGACACAGACCGGCTGGATGTACTTGGTGTAGGTGACAGGCGAGGCCAGCCTCAGCAGGGCAATGTCATTGGAATACCCTCTGGCTCCAGGGTGTACAAAGATGTCCGTCACCCTGTACCGATGGAGGTAGGCTCGTAGGTTCCACACAGATGGGTGGAGAGTGAGCTCACCCAGCTGGACAGTCCACTTAGAAGCATCAGGGAACCTGCCGTGGAGAAGAGAGAACTCAGGGTCTTGGGAGTAGGGCTGGCCACCTGGGCACGCCCCTTCCTCAGGTGTCCTGGAGGGCTGTACCACTTGCTCAGACTGGACACCAAGTCTTTCTGCTGGGCCAAAAGGTTCTCTGCAGAAACTATCAGACCCTCAACAAGCCACGAGCGCAGTCCCCACTCTTGGGCAGTGTGGGGGAGGTGGAGGGGTGGCTCCCCTGGAGAGTGGTTCCAGTCCTCCAGGGAGCCCCTGTACAGCCCAAGGTGGACAGAACAGATTTCAGGGCCAGTTTAGGGCTCCTGGCAGGACGTTCTGCTCACAGACTCCCCCTCAACTCCTGCACCTGCCCCAACCCCGGCCACCCCCAGAACAGCACAGGAAGGGGATAGGGAATGCCCTTGGGGGTCATGGTGATGGAGGGGGAATAATGCACCAAAAGCTCATGGAATGTTCTGAAAGGGCATTCTGGAAGACTCTGAGCAGGGTTCCTTTCAGGGGCCCTAGTGGAAAGTTCTCAGTGTGTGATAGCGTAGCTCAGGTCAGGCACCCTGCTGGTCACGTCACAGACAAGGACATTCTAGAATACCCTGAGCGGGCTTCCCTCCAGGGCCCCCAAGGGAAAGCCTTTGGTGGGTGACTGGATGAGGCCCACCTTGGGACTATAGGGACCTGGCAACTGTACCACAGGGAAAACTGTCTTTCCAGCTTCTGGCAAATATATTCCAGAATATATATTCCAGCAAATGCCAGTGAAAGTGGGCAAAAAATTTATTGTTTTGTAATTTCTTTTAAAATATCTTTTCTATTTTAACATAAAAATACATTGGTGAAAAAAATGGGACACAAGAAGAAAGCAGCTGTGGAAACTTTGATATCAGATAAAACAGGATCCAAGGCTAGCAGTCTTAGTTCTGAAGCATGAGGCTATGTTCCACTAATAAAATCATGCTCTTGGCTGGGAATGTAGCTCAGTGGTACAAGAGCATTTGCTTAGCATTTTCAGCACTCTGGGTTTCAGCCCCAACTCTGAAAAAAAAAGTTATGCTGTAGGGAAAGACTGTAAGAGGCATGTGCTGCCCCTCGACCTGCCTCAGTACCAAGCCTGACCAGGGCTCCCTGAGCCTGAACGATCTGTGTGGGGCCCTGATCCCAAGTGCCAGGCCCACGGCTGCCCTCTGGTGGGGCCGGGGGATGGACATGAAGGTGCCTGCTCTGTGCAGTAGGAGCTGGGCCCTCCGTTTGGAGATCCGGTCTCCTGGGGCTGCTTGACCCTTTGCAATGAGTTTATCTGTCACGCCCCAGGCGTCCTCACCCACCTCAGGCTCCCAGAGCCCCAGGGTGTCACATGAATGGCCGCAGGGCATAGGGGGGTGTGCTTGGCCAAGGTGCCTCCAGCAGGCCCTGGGCTCCAGGTCTGGCCCACCCGTCCCCTTGCACTGCCCTGGGTGCCAGATGCTGCAGCCCAGAGAAGAAGAGAGAAGCTTCTTGGCCTTGCCCTAGGGGTTCAGGCAGGTCCTGCACCCCGAGTCCCAGTTCCTCTGCTACCCTGTGGAGGTGTCACAATGCCTGGGAGCTGAGTGAAGCATGTGTGTTCTGTCATTGGCAGAATGCCAGGTATAGCAGCCATTTGGAGGTGCCATGAGAAGACACTGAGGTTCCAGGGCCAGGACAGGAGAGACCCTTGGGGTGGGGTCAAGGTCTGGAGACTATGAGGAGCTCGGGGCCTCTGTGACCAGGAGTTGTGTTTGTGATGTCCGCTTAGGCTCCAGCTGAATTCAGAGGCTAAGTGTGGAGGCTCAGCCCCTCCAGGACGAGCCCGGGAGCCCAGCACATGTCCCCCTGGTGTTAACAATATCATCTTGTTTTACTACCCGGGGGCTGCTGTACCACATGACCACAGATGAGTGGCTTAAGATAACAGAAACACATTCTCTCAGTCCAGACCTTCAGCTGTCTCAAGGAAAGGGGTTGCAGGTCCAGTTCCCTCCAGGGCCCCTCCTGCTCTCCCAGCTTCTGCTGGCTTCAGACAGTCCCTGGCTTTCCCTTAGCGGCTCCAAGTGCCCGCCTTTGAGCTTAGCAAGCCTCAACCTTGGGTGTGTGCTTTGATGGCATAATGAGAATTGTCCTTTGAACCATAGCCAAAGTACCCTATTTTGTGAGGTCCACCACTGCCCCTAGCCATCCAGAGGGCCTCAACACACACGAGGCTGTGTGCTAGACAGCAGCACAAGTTCCTGGCTGGACAGTGCTTGCTGAAAACAGCAGAGTTTCCTCATAAGGGTGAGACAGGAGTGGAGTATGCACTGTTCTTCCAAAGCACCTTTCTTGATTTTGATCCTGATTTTTCTGGGGGTGGGGATGTGCTGTTTTGCTTTGTTGAGACAGGGTCTCACTATGGTATCCAGGCTGGCCTTGAATTCACTATGATCCTTCTTCCTCAGCCTCCTGAGTGCTAGGATTTCAAACATGTACCACGATGCCTGGCTTGATTTTGCCCTTTGGTGGGTGTGTTTTGGGGTTTTGGTTTTTTGAGATAAAGTCTCACTATGTGGTTCAGGCTGGCTTTGAACTCACTATGTGGCCCAGACTGGCTTCAAACTCTTGAGGATCCTCCTACCTCAGCCTTCTTTTTTTTTTTTTTTTCTTTTTTCCGGTACCAGAATCGAACTCACGACCACGTGCTTGCCGGGCAGGCGCTATGCCACTGAGCTAAATCCCCAGCCCCTACCTCAGTCTTCTGAGTGCTGGGATTACAGGTGTGTACCACCATACCCAGCTTGATTTTGCTGCTTTAATCAGTGCCCTATTAAACTAATAGCCTAGCTTGCGGGAAAGGTTGGGGGTGCTGCGGCTTGCAAGTTGTGTGCCACTCTGTAAGTAAGCCCTGATAAACTCAGTTACTTGCCAAGCTGGATTTGTTCCGGTCATTCTTTGCACTATTGGTGCCCTCTTGGTTCAGAGGCGGATATTTCTTTTATATTGCTCTGGGAGATTTACAAAACACGTGGATTCATACTTTGATGAGCTATTGGGAGGTAATGGAAACTTAAGAGATGGGATCTAGTTGTAGGGAGTAGACCCTTGGGGACTGTATATTGTTGTGGATGCCTACCCTAATTCTGTCCACCATGAGGTGAGCAGCTGTCCTCTGCCGTGTCCTTCTACCTCCAAAGTCGAGAGACAGCAGAGCCAAGGGACTGTGAACTGAAACCTCTAAAGCTATGGGCCAAAATAACTCTTTCCTCTTCTGTAATTCTCAGGTACTGTGTCATAGCAGTGAAACGCTAACACACTAGGCACCATGGGCATCAAAATAACACGTACTGGGGGTCCTGAGGTCATTAGAAGGATGGGAATGATACCAGGGTCATGAGTAAGACATGGAACAATCCCAGTCATAGGCGGACATGGGGAAGAATTCTAGGCTTGGGAATTCTAGAACTCATGACCTGGGAGTCCTAGAAGTCATTGCTAGGGCTGGGGTGAATCCCAAGGTCACTGATAGGTCTGAGGCTCAATCCCAACATCATGAGTAAAGCTAAAGGGTACTCTCAGGGTTACGGGCACAGTCAGGGTCCATCCCAGGGTTAGCAGTAGGGCTGGTATGAATCCCAGTATCATGGGCAGATCTGGGGTTCAATCTCAGAGTCATGGGCAGAGCTAGGGTCAATCCCAGGGTTAGGGGAGGATCTGAGGGCCAATTCCAGTGCAGTTCCAGTGCAATTCCAGTGTAATTCCAGTCCAGTTCAGGCCTGAGATGGTGAGAACTATGTCTGCCTGGGTGGACGAGTGAGTTACCAGCTTTCATTCAGGTACAAGCAGCACAGGTATGCTAACAAGCTGTGGTTCCCCTGATCTTTCTCCTTCCTATCCTTTCTTCCCTAGCCTGACTCTCCAGGAACTGGCTGGAGATGTGGAAGAAGGCAGCTGGGCCCCCAGGCAAGGGTGAGGTGTGAGTGGGGACCCCAGGGAGGAGGCAGAATGCATAAAGCGAGTGTGGCATATATGCACCAAGGAACATCATTCAGCTGTAACAAGAATGAAATTCTATCTGTGCAGCACGCTGGGTGAGTCTGAAGGACATTATGGTAACTGAAGTAAGTCAGGCACAGAAAGACAAATACCAGATATTCTCACTGACTTATGGAAGCCAAAAAAAGCTGATCACAAAGAAGTAGAGAATAGAAGAATGATTCCCAAAGGCCAAGAAGGGCGTGGGAAAGAGGGAGATGGAGGAGATGATGAATGGGTCTGGGATTGCTCTTAGGGGGAAAATCTTCCAAAGCACAATAGCACAATGAGGGAACTATGCTGGGCAACAGTTTAGTGTATATTTCAAAATATCTATGGAAAGAGTTCTGTATGTTTTGTAAGAAATAATAAGTCTTAGCCGAGCGTGGTAGCAGATACCTGTAATCCCAGCTCTTGGGAGGCTGAGGGAGGAGGATCACTGTTTGAGGCCAGCTGAGCCACATAGTAAGTTCAAGTCCAGCCTGAATAATATAGTGAGACTCTGCCTCAAAAAAAAAAAAACAAAAAGAAAAAAGAAATAAAATTTCAAGATGAAGGATATGCCAGTTACCCTGGTCTTATCCTTATATACTGTATATGTGTATTGAAATGCCACACTGTACCTCATTAATGTGTACCAATATGTATCACTTAAAATAAAAAATATAGATTGAAAAAGGCAATGAAGTTATAAGCTGTACTCTTGGATCCTTAAAACAGCTACAACAAAAGATTCAAGGTGGAGAGGGATGAGAGCTTGACCTGCGATCAGGAGGCAGCCAGGGGAGGAAGGGTCTTAGTCACTTTCCATTGCTGGGACTCAATACCTGACACCCACCATTTAAAAGAGGAGAGGAAGCTGAGTGTGGCGATGCACACCTGTAATCTCAGCACTCGGGAGGCTGAGGCAGGAGGATCACCAAGATTTCGAGGCCAGACTGGACTATAATGGTGAGTTTGAGGCCACCCTGGACTACATGCCAAACCCCGTCTGGAAAAAAAAAAAAGAGGAGCCATTCATTTGATTCACACATTCCAGTGGATTTGATCCAAAGTTTGCTGGCTCCAAGACAGAACAGCTGAGGAAAGGGCATAGCTGAGGAGAGCTGAGCAACCCATGGGCTACAGCAAGCAGAGGGAGAAGAGAGGAGCAGAGGAGGGTGTGCGCCCCCAAAGGCACACCCCAGTGACACACCTCTTCCAAACAGGCCCCACCTCCTGACTGCACATCTTAACTATGAGCTCATCAGTGGATAGCACTCCACGGTCCAAGCACCTTGCAAAGGCCCCATCTCTGGGTATGTAAGATTTTTGTGGGATATTTTAGGGCTAAACCGTGACCTGGGGACAATCCCAACTGCCAGCTCAGGGAGGGACAAAAGCCAAAACCCTCACTCATTTCCCCAAGAAAGTCCTGAGAAGGAGTGAATATGATCCTGGCCCAGTCCCAAAGGCCTAAGCCTCAGATCACCAAATACCAGGGAAGACTCAATGCTGGGCTTCTCCCGGGGAAGGGCTGAGGGCCAGCAAGTCTGGGTGGAGGAACAGACAAAAGAGGGGAAGGCAGCCAGCAGCCCTGGGCCGCAGGAAACAATGGCATTTTATGTATGTATGATGTATTTATTTGGGTAGTGAGAATTGAACCCAGGGCCTTCATACTGAGCTACATCCCCAGCCCTGTTTGTTCTTTTTTAAATTTTGAGACAAAGTCTGGCCAAGTCCCTAAGCTGTCCAGACGGGGCTCCAACCAGGATCTTCCCTTAGCCTTCCATAGGACGGGGATTACAGGCATGTGACCCGAAAAGAACAGGATTGTTCGGGTCCACTGGCTGCTAGGCCATGACAAGGGGTACTGCGGGTGGCCTGCCTTTGTAGGAGCGGAACCCCACATCACGTGGTCTCCAAGCATCCTTGGGTACAGATCAAGCTGGAAGGGGGCGTGCCCAGGGCCCCACCCCGACCTCTCTCCCCCAGGGGCCGCCGCCTCGCCTGAGCCGCAGGAAGGAGGTGCAGGAGAAGAGTCGCTGGGGATGTTCCCGCTGCTCACAGCCTTGCTGCTGTCCCGGGTGGGACCTGGGAAGCCCGGTGAGCTCAGGGTGCCGCCGAGTGCACGGGGTAGGGGTGTGGGGTCGGGCATGGAGGTCTCGGGAGCTCACCTTGTCACCCCCCACCCCCAGCACCGTTGTCGGAAGGCGCAGTGGAAGGTGAGTCCCAACCCTCCAAGCCTGCCTGGGGCGCCCGCGTCAGTGACACGATGACCCCATCTATGCCCCACTGCCTCTAGATTGAGGACTCAGGGCTCGAGAGTAACAGGCCCGGGAGGGCGTCTTCGGACCACGTGGAAATGGCCCCACAATACCTCCTTCCAAGGCCGACCCAGGATTCACGCGGTCCACTTGGGTGCTCCCCCCGCCCCGCCCCCGCTCCTGTGTCCGGGCCTTGTAGGTCTCTTCCCTGCGAGTGTGGGCCTGCCCTACCCGGCTCAGGCCCAAGTCTGTCTAGCCATGCTAGGTTCCTGCGGCCATCGGACAGTCCCCGCGCGCGTGGTGGGTGGAGAAGATGCGGAACTGGGGCGCTGGCCGTGGCAAGCGAGCCTCCGACAGTGGGGCAGCCACATCTGCGGGGCAAGCCTGCTGAGCCGCCGCTGGGTGCTCACCGCTGCCCACTGCTTTAAAAGGTGAGTTGGGGTCGGGGGCAGACAGTGGCCTCAGGCCCCTGAGGCCCTCACCTGGGCCCACAGTCATGCACGGTGGTGTGCGCAGGTCCCTGGATAAACCCAGATGAGGTCTCATTTATTTCCCTGAAGGGGCAGATTACACCGCAGGAGGTGGAGCACAGCTGGGTTGGCAGGTGGGGAGGGGCCGCCTGGCCACCGAAGTTCTGTGCAGTCCAACTCATTCTCTTCGTTTTGCTGGAAGCCCCACCCTGGCCCCCACATGTACTTTACCCATTATGGGCTGTGCAGAAGTCCCCGAAGGTCAGGGCCATTTCCCTATCCTTTGGACAGCGTGGAAAGTGAGGACTGACAAGGGGAGCCACCTCTCCTCCTCTTTCAACATTGGCTGTGAGTGGAGACTTTGGCTTTGGCCTGTCTGGGCTCTGAGGATTACACGGGGGTCCCTTTGGCCCAGAAGAGGGACTTGGTGATGGTGTCCAAGATGGCCAAATAGTACAGTCCCACAGGATCCCGGAGGTGGGGGCAGGTGTGCCCAAGTGGCCAGCCTTACTCTCAGGGCCCTGATTTCTCTCTCCTTCCTGCCAGTGTCCCTTATCCCTATGAGTGGACGGTCCAGTTTGGTGAGCTGACTGCAGAGCCATCTCTATGGAACATGCATGCCTACTATAATCGCTACCGAGTGGACAAGATCTTTCTGAGCCCCAAGTACCTTGGGGAAGTTCCTTATGACATCGCCCTGCTGAGGCTGTCCTCCCCTGTCACTTACACCAAGTACATCCAGCCTGTCTGCATCCCAGCCTCCATATCCAAGTTTGAGAATCGGACTGACTGCTGGGTGACTGGCTGGGGGGACGTCGCAGAAGATAAGAGTGAGGCTGGGAACAGATGGGCACTATCCTGCTCCCCTGTCCCAGCCACATCAGGCCTAGCAGCCCCTCCTTGGTCTCTGGGGCACTGCTGAGCCCCTCTGTCCACCTGCTAGGCATCCCTCCCATCTGCTTGCCTCCCTCGCTCCCACCTGCAAGGGCAGGAACCAAACACTCAATTCCCTTCCCTTGCAGACCCAGTGGCCTAAGGCAGAGGTGCAGGTGCGTTTAGTTTGTCCAGGGCAGCAGAGATGGAGGTCCTGTGGAAGGGTCTTGGTATTGCTTTATTCATACATCGTCCCACTTCTGCAGCTGTCTGTAAGCCCCACTTGAGTTCCTTGGTATCAGCCCAATTCTGGCTGCCTCTCCTAAAGGACTGAGCTCTCTCTCCTCAAAATTCCCAAGCCCTCTGGCCCTTGTGTTACACACCTGTAATCCCAGAACTCTGCGAGGCTGAAGCAGGAGGATCACAAATTTGAGCACAGCCTGGGCAATTTAAGGATTTAGCAAGACTCTGTCTCAAATGGAAAATAAAAAAATTGGGTTAGGATGTAGCTCAGTTGAAAGGCCCCAGGTTCAATCCCAGTGTCAGGAAAGAAAAAAGAAAAAAAGATTACTACCACTAACAAAAAAAAAAAAGCCATCCTTCTCCTACCTTAGCTCACAACTGAAATCCCCCTGAAGTCCTCAGGCAGCATAATCCAGCACCTGCCTATCTCATGGCACAAGAATCCCCTGGAAATGCTGGGCGTAGCCTTCCCTAAAGTGCTGTGAGGCTTCCCCCAGATGGGGTAAATTCTTCGTGCCTAGAACAGCCTGGCTGCCTCTCATGTCATCCCGATGACAGCGGTTATCACCGATAACTGTGCCTGTACGCTGTTCACTGAGCACCATGTCAGGATGGGGACGTGGTGAGAGCAGAACAAGAGCTCTGTTCCCCGTAGAGCTTACCTATAAATGAAGCCCGGAAGCTGAGACAGGAGGATTGCTGTGAGTTTGAGGCCAGCCTGGACTACACAGTGAGTTCAAGACCAGTCTGAACTATGTAGAGAGACTTTGTCTCCCAAACAAAACAAAAACAACCTAAGTGAAGCTGGGAGTGTTCGGTACCCATTTTACAGATGGGGATATGTGAGATCATCATAAAGGTTGCCCAAGGCCCCAGAACCAGTAAATGGAGTAGAAGCCAGGGCTGAGTGGCTCAGACAGTCTAAGGGATGTTCCCAAGGAGAACTGGCAGGGAGACGGTGTTGTAAAACCAACACTAGATCTTCCTCCTCTGGGAAAGGGGTCTATTTCTTTCTCCTAGAAGGGGCCCTGCTACAAAAGATGAATAGGTGTGAGCCAAGGGACCCTGCTAGTTCTCCTTTGCCGGCCTTCTTTCCTGGCCTGGGGCTGACAATGACCTCTGAAAGCCTGGGGCTCCACCACTGTTCTCAGTGCTTGGGGAGCAGGTGGGAGGCATGTCTGGAGCCCCCTTACCTTGCAGGAGCTTTTGCTGTGGCAGATGTGAGCTGGAAGATTTTGGACAGGGCACTTACTTCATCTGTGCCTCAATTTCCTTATTGGTAACATAGGGTAACATAGGTAAAAGTGCTAACTTCATATGGTCGTCCTTGTCACTCTCTGCAGAGCCCGGTGAACTCTGCAATTCCTGACTCACATCAGACTCTGACACTTCCTTGGTGCCTTTGGAAAGGGGCTTTTCCCCCAACTCTTTCCTTACCTGGGAGTGGGTCCCGATGCCCACTCCTTCCAGAGGTGATCAGGAGCCCTAAGAGCACCTCGTACAGCTCTTGGCTCAAGCCCTGAGAGTGCCCAGGTATTATCAAGGAGAATGCATCCTGGAGGCTGCGCCCTCACTCCAGTCTGGTACCTGGGTGTCTTAGCAAGGCTGTGTTCCTCGTAAGCCATCTTAGTGGTCATAGCCCCTCCCCCTGGGCACATTTTAGCTAAGGAATCTCTACTGGCTCAGGCAGAGGCTTTGTGTGTATTCTACAGATGGGGTAACTGAGTCTCAGGGTACAGTGCTAATAGCGTGTCCACCTCCTGGGTCCCTCTGTGATATTACTGACCATTCACGACATCCTGTTTGTGGGGCTAGAGCTGGAAGCCATCAAGAGTGATATCCGGCCAGGAATAGTGGTGCACACCTGTAATCTCAGCACTCTGGGAGGTTGAGGCCAAAAGATCACAAGTTTGAGACCAAACTAGGTAACTTTTTTTTTGAGGATCTCACTATGTAGCGCAGGCTGGCCTCAAACTCACAGCAATCCTCCTGCCTTAGCCTCTGAAGTGATGGGATTATAGGTGTCTGCCACCATGCCCAGCTATTCTGGGTAGCTTTGCCTTAAAATAAAATATCAAAAGGGGTTGGGGATGTGGCTTATTGCAAAGGCTCTGGACTCAATCTTTCAATTCCCAGTACAAAAAAAAAAAAAAAAAGAAAAGAAAAAAAGGAGGAAGAGAAGGAGGAGGAGGAAGATGAGGAAGTAACAGTAGTATTATGATGTCCTAGGTGCCCCAGGGACACTGCCACCCCACAGCCTGTCCCTCCCCAGAGAGGAGGACCATGTTGCCTGTTTCTATCCACGCTGTAGGTCTGCCGAATCCCTATACCCTCCAGGAAGTACAGGTCAGCATCATCAACAGGTCCACGTGTAATGACCTGTTCCAAAAACCAGACTTCCGTACGGACATCTGGGGAGACATGGTGTGTGCTGGTGATGTCACAGGTGGCAAGGATGCCTGTCTTGTAAGTGTCCTCAGCCCTACTGCTCCCATCCCTAAACTGACAGCAATCTGTCACCATAACCCTTTTGATCTCTTGAGATTGGGAGTTAGAGACCCTGCCCCCCCTTTGCAGATACAGAAACTGAGGCCCTGTCCCTGCCAGAGGAGGGGACAGCTCCACAGACCCCAGCTCTCCCAACCTCTTCGCTAGGACCCCACCCCTAACCTAGGCTGGGCTCGCCCGTGCTACTCCCCAGGGTGACTCAGGAGGACCCTTGGTCTGCGACCTGGACGGGCTGTGGTATCAGATTGGAATCGTGAGCTGGGGAGTGGGCTGCGGTCGCCCCAATCGGCCCGGAGTCTACACCAACATCAGCCAGCACATCCACTGGATCCTGAAGACAGTAGCCAGCGGTGGCTCCCCGAGGCTAGACCTCCCCCGACTGCTGCTGCTCCTCACTGTGCCCTGGGCTCCCCGGTTGGTGGGCCTCATCTGAGCCCACCTGACTCATTTGCTGAGTCAGGCTCTGGTCCTCTTTCCTCCTGTTGGTAATAAACACGTTGGAGTTGACCTCAGTAGAGCAGTTTCCTGTGCACCCCTGTCCAGTCCAGCTCTAAATCTCACTCCCCAAACCTGTCTACCCATCTGTATTAGCCACGTTTTGTCTCTGGCTAGTTCAATCACAAGCATAATGTATGGAAGGAAGATCAGAGTTCCTGGGTGTCTTGGGTGGAAGACGGGTGTAGGTGCCAGGGAACATTCCAGTGTGCCCCATCATACAAGCACCAGACACTCCTGTCATGGTCCCCCAGAGGCCAAACTAGGATCAGAACTTGACAGAAGGTAGTTAATTGGAAGGTGGCCTCAGGAAGCATGGACGAGGAGGTGGGGAAACAGGCAGCGAAGGGTTTGCATGGGTGAGGAGGTTACTGTTCTTGCAGTTGAGGCACACTCCTTCTTGGGCCTCAGCATTGACCCACAGAAGACAAGAAAACCAGGGCTGGCCACTGTCCTCTGAGCCCCGTCTCTAAGGAATGCAGGGTGGACCTAGAGGTCAGGGCCCTGCACAACTGGAGCTGACCCCAGTGAGGCTGTCAGGGCTTCTCCAGCGGCAGCAGCACTGTAAGATGATGGGTTTAGTTTGGAGTTTTGTTTTGTTTTGTTTTGTTTTTGGTTTGGGTTGGTTTTTTGAGACAGGGTCTCCTATACAGTTCAGACTGACTTTGAACTCATTATGTAACCCAGGCTGGCCTCAAACTTGCAGCAATTCTCCTGCCTCTGCCTTCTGAGTGCTGGGATTACAGGCATATGCCACCACACCCAGCCGCCAGTGAGATGGCATCTACCTCATCTGTCCCTGTCAGGACCTCTGACCTCAACCTCAGCATGGCCAAGGGACCAGTCCAGATAGGCAGTGTCAGGCCTCTCTGCGCTGTTAAAGCAAACGTGTGTTTTGCAAGGTCCCTGAGTGCTGTGAGTGCAGAAAAGGGAGAGATGATCTGGCCAGATCTGCCCGCTAAACCAGGCATGGTGGTGCACACCTATAATCCCAGTACTTGGGAGGATGAGGCAGGAAGATCTTTGCAAGTTTGAGACCAGCCTGGGTTACAAAGTGAGCTCAAGGCCAGCCCAAACTGCATAGTGAGACCCTGTCTCAAAAAGACAAAAACAAAACAAAACAAAACAAAATAAAACAAAAACACACAAAAAACCAAACAGATCTGCCTGCTATGCCACCCACAGTCCTGCTTCCAGGAAGACGTACCCCACGCCCCCGAAAAACGAGCCCTCATCCAGGAGCCAGGCTGGAAAGGGGTTTAGTAGCACACACTCAGCAGAACTACCTGCAAAGGGTGAGCTCCACACCGTGCACTGGGCCCCTGCTCTTCCCCCACACCACCATGTCACTTCCACAGAGATCTGGAAACTCTTGGGGATAAGTCCTGCCAGCCCTAGGCACCCCATCCCAGTGCTGCTGCACTCTCAGAGCTGCCCCTGTCCCACTCCACACTGTGCTCCATCCAACTGCTGCAGAGGCTCTCCTGTGACCCCTTCCCTGCCTGGCCACACCAGAGGCAGGTCCTCAGCAGGACATCCCCACAACCTGTATGTGGCCTCTGCAGGACTCTGCTGCCCCTGTCCTGTACCTAACACTTGGCCCCCAAGCCAAGTGTCTTGGCTTTTCCAGTGGCTGGTGGTGTGTGCCCAGCAGGCAGATGCCCCACCTCCTGCAGGGGCTCTGGGCTAGGACATAGGTCAGTGCAGCGAGGCTGGCATCTGTGTGAGGCAGGACCTTGGTAGAAACCTCAGGCTTGTGGGTCTCATGTGTGGCCTTCACACAGCCCCTTCTCAGTGCAACCTACAGATAGCCTGAAGGGCCCCTCTCTCAGGCTGCTGGAGTAACAAGAGAGAGCAGGCCAGGTGGCTCCCATGCCCATTGCGATAACTGCAGGCAAAGATGGCATAGAGGCAGGATGTGCCCACCAGCCAGCATTGGACGTGGTGCCGCCCACTACCCACTCCAGCGACACAGCCCAAGATGAACATGTCCAGGGCCGGTGCCTGAAACTCAAAGACTCAAAGAGCCAGGGAGAAAGTGAGCCCCCGCACAGGAAGGGTGGGTGCCCTCTACCACTCTGACTGGGGTCAGACCTAGAAGTAGGCAATATTAGGTACTGTGCCCTTGCTCTTTCCACTGAAGGGTTCACAACCACAGCAGGTGGACACATGGTACTCTGTGCCCTCTCTCCAGAGTAGAGGTCTGGAAGACAGACTGAGGCATGGCACCAGGGCTGCCCCTGTCCTGTACCTAACACTTGGCCCCTCCAGGCCAAGTGTACGGCTTCCCCAATGGCTGGTGGTGTGTGCACAGCAGGCAGCTGCCCCCCCTACCGCAGTGGCTATGGGCTGGGACACAAGGAGACAGGGGAGAGGGGCCCAACCTTCCCCAAGAGGAACTGTTTATTTTTATTCTGTGGCTGCTGCCGCAAGCACCTTGCATCTGCCCTGGCTGCATCAGACCCCACAGTGCCACACACAGAGACATTCACTTTGATCAAAGCAGGCCTCAGTCTGGCACTTGTCCCAGTAGACTCCACCTGGCAGGCCCTCTGCAGCCCACTTCAGTCAGGTCCCGAGAGGCCTCCCCACCCACAACCAAACAGAAAGTCTGACATTGCGCATGTGCAGGCCTGCCTCCCCCGCACCCACCATACAAGCAGCCTCCTCATACCTATAGCAGACCAGTCTGTGCACTGCTCCCCCCGCCGCTTCGCTGCAGTGTAAGTCCTAAGCCCCTTTCACATGGCAGAGTTTTGCATATTTGTGATTTCTATCTAGAGTAGAGCATGCTGAGCTAGTACTCCAGTAGCCAGTAACGCCAAAGGCCTGACAGTGTTATCCTCTGTGGCTGCAGGCAGTGAGCAGTCAGAGAAAGACAGCAACAGAGAACGGCTAAAATCTGCCATCTCTGATGGTCCAAGAGTTCTCAAGGCCTGTCAGTGGCTGATGCCCAGTGACAAGGAGGGACGCTAACCCTAGACACTAATCGGCACTGGCATTCAAAGCTCAGAGCTGTTAACACTCAAAGAGCTACACTTTGCTAATGGGTAATTTGTATGTGAATGAACCAAAAGAACCCTCCGCTGGGCGGTAACACCATGGTGGTCCGTGCAAGGACCCTCCCTCTCCGAGGGCCCTGAAGAAGAGGGTGGACAATGCCGATGGTTGTCAGCAGTGGATAAGAGGCTCAAGCACTACCCTGTGGTTAATTTCCATCCTAGATTCAGTGAAACACACATGCTGGCCAGAGACATCTGCACAGCCTCAGCTGCAGAGGTCGCCTCCAGGTCGAGCCCTCACTTCCTCCGCCCAGTCCAGCAGTGCACCCTAAATCCAAGCACGAGGCACGGGGGTGGCTTTAGGCCCTGGCCCTCCTGCAGAGACCACTGCAGACATGAGTCCCGCATGTGGTGGCACTTGTGGCCCCCCTATGGGGGGCTCCCTCTGCACCCACAGTGGGAGCTCCCTCTCCATTCTCACGTTTTTCTGCCTTCCTTGTCAGCCCCAGGTCTGTCTTCACAACAGGCTTGCGCTGCTATGGTGGAGTGTGGCTCCAAGCTGGGCACCCAGCTTCAACCCAAACACTAGGAGACTTAAGGAAGCCTCAGGCTGCACAGAAGCAGTGGACCTGGGTTATACCCACAAACCATCTTCTAAAGCACTCAGGTTCACCTTCCCCTGTCACAGTCATGTGGAGCCATGTAGGCCATTTGGCTGGGGGGTGTGGATGAGGCACCTAACCGCACCTGCCCAGGCAGTTAGGCTGCATAAATAGAGATGGGACTCACTGTCTCTCAGGATCTGCCCCAAGGCTCTGTGTAGCCTCTCATAGCTCCTTCTCCCCCCACTCCACATTATCTTAGCTGAACCGGGGTCTATGTCATAGACATTTATAGGGGGAGAAAGTGGGTGGGAGACCTGAGGGCTTTCTCATTCTGAAGGGTTTCCCACCCTTCTGGGTCACAGGAGGAGGATGAAGAGCACAGTGGGGAGGGCCAGGTCCCTGATGCACCCCACCCATAATCCCAGCCGGTCTTGAGGTCAGACTTTCTTTTGGGGTCAGAGGAAGGACCGATGTGATGGTAGGGGCAGCTGGGCTCTTGGGCCTGTCCTGGAGGGACACTTAGCCTCTGAATTCAGCTGGAGCCTAAGCGGACCCCACAAATGCAACTCCTGGTCACAGGGGCCCCGAGCTCCCCATAGTCTGGGGACCTTGACCCTACCCCAAGGGTCTCTCCTGTCCTGGCCCTGGAATTGCAGTATCTTTTCATGGGCACCTCCAAATGGCTGCTGTACCTGGTATTCTGCCAATGACAGGACACACATGCTTCACTC